ACACACACAATTTTATTTTGCTACATAGCCCAAGCTGGCCTTGAACTCAAGACCCCTCTGCCTCAAACTCCTAGGACTCCCAAATGTGGGCCTCTGCTTGGATTACAGACATGTACCCACCACCACATCTAACTTAAAACATCATTCTTTACTTCCAGCTCTCACCCAATGGATGGTGATGGTATAAGAGGCTCTAGAAGGTTCTACAGGGCAGCCTGAACTCAGGGGTTTTCCCTGTATAACCCAAGCTGCCCAAACCACTCAATCATAGTAACTCAGCCCAGCGGTGGCCTTCTTCAAGGTGCTGAGTCCCCACCATTACCTGCATCTGAAGAATTCAAATCCTTGACTGGCAGCTCAGTCTCACCCCTCTCTGGAGCCAACGGCTGCATCTACATGGGAGAACCCCAGGATGCAGCTGAGGAGGGAGCCCAGAAGCTGAGGAAGAGAGCTGGGGGATCACTAGGCCAATGCTTCAGCCATGAACCAAGGGTGTAACCCTCCCCACTCCCTTCTTACTAGGGACAGCTCCATGTCCAAGTCCATCAGGGTCCATTCTCGCCCTTGGAGACCAGGGCCCAGCACCTGGGGAAAGCTCAGGTAAGTGGTGCCTTCAGAGACAGACAACTCAACTCTATGTGTCTCATGTCCTGCCTCAGCCAAGGAGATACTCACATCTAGGGGTGCTGCAGTTTCAGAGGGAGGTCGAAGCAGCATTGGGGGCAGCAGACTTTCTGGGCTCCGATTACCCCGCTCCAGACCAAGAGTTCCCCTGTGCACAAAGAACTGCTGTTGGTCTGTAGAACCTACCTCATATTAGTCCCCAAGGAACCTGGATCATCAGGTTTAAATTCCCCAACAACTAGAAAATGCTAGAAGCAACACTCTCCTTCAGTCCTCTCCCCTAAAAACAGGGCATTTTTCCTTTCTTTCTTGGGGGGAAGTGATGAGATAACACCATGCTATATACCCCTGATTGGACTCAAACACTCAGCAATCCTCCTGTCTCAGCCTGAGTGCTAAAGGGACACCTTTAAAAAAATTTTTATGTGTATGAAAGTTTTGCCTGGATCTAAGTGCACCATGCATGCAATGCCCACAGAGTCCAGAAGAGGGCCTGAGATCTCCTGGAACTGGAGTTACAGACAGTTGTTAGCCATCATGGGGGATGCTGGGAACCAAATGTGGGCCTCTGCAAAAGCAGCCAGAGCTGTTAACTGCTGAGCTATGTCATCAGTCACTGCTAAAGGGACATCTTTTTGTTGTTGCTGTTGTTTGAGGCAGGGTCTTATATAGCTTAGGCTAGCCACTGATTCCCTAATAGCTAAGTATGACCCTAAACTCCTAGTCCTCCTGCTGCTACCTCTTCCTAGGATTACAGGAGTAAGCAACTATGCTGGGCTTCTAAAAGAGTATCATGAATTTGCCTTTACTTCCTGAGACCTGAGATCATGGGAGATGCTTCCTTTCTATATGAGCATAAATACCAGTAATTTTGTGTGTGTGCCCACTTTTTACTGCAGTAATAGGGATTGAAACTATGGCCTTGAGAATGCTAGGCAGGTACTGTACCACCAAGTTATATCCCCAGCCCAGTCCCCTTTCTCCTTTTTCTCTTTAAAAATTTTACTTTTTATTTATTATTATTATAGTGTGTGTATGATGGGGGGCATGTACCATGTTGTGTAGAGGGGGCCAGAGGATAACTTTTGGAGTTGGTTTTCTCCTCCTTGGGCTCCAGAGGTCGAACTTAGGTCATTAGGCTTGTGTGGCAAGTGCTTTACCCACTGAGCCATCTTGCCAGCCTTTTTATTTTTAGACAGTCTCACTAAATTACCAAGACTGGCTTTGAGCTCACTCTTAAGCCCAGGCAGGCCTTCAACTTAATGACAATTCCGCCTCAACCTCCAAAGTAGTTGGGATGACAGGCTAGTGCCACTAAGATCAACTACCAGTTAGTGTTCTTAAACTACTGTGTATATCATAATCACGCCAGTGAACTCATTTAATGTGTAGATTCCTGAGACCTACCACATGGTCCTGAGTATTTGACTGGGAGTTTCCATTTTCCAAATGATTCTGACATTCTTTGTAGTATCCTCTCAGAAATCAAATCAGGGTCAGAGTCCCTTAGCCAACTTGGGACTGACAAGGCAGTGAAGTTTCGTTGGCCAGCATCTGTGAATCTACTTGTAAACCATCAAGAATGGACTCTGCTCACCTGTCAAGTACCTCCTTGGGGCCTCTTGGTTCAGGCTGTTGGGCACTCCTGGGCCCCTCAGGGCTGAAGCTCCCTTTCCCTTCCAGGATGGCCTGCACCACAGCTACAGGCAGGGGTGGGGGGGCTGTCACGCAGAAGTCACACTCGTTTGGGGCCAGGGCCAGCCTGGCCTCGCCATCCCCCCCTGGACTGGCCGGCTCTTCTTTGAGCAGTGCCAGGCCCTTCTCCCTGCACCAGAGAAAAGCTTCAAGCAAACCCTGGTACTGACCTCTCCCCGACCCTCATAGACCTCTGGGCTGCCAGGCTCTTCCCCATAGGATTCCCAGAGGGCAGCCCCTCTCCCCCTTACCTCCTGCTACCACTGGAGGGAGAAAGCCTGGACCCTTCAGGTGATGGAGAGTCTTCTAGGATGTCAGAGATGATGGGGCCTCTAGCCCTGTGAGAGCTGAGGCCCAAGGTAGTCTCTGGGTGGGGCTGTAAGTAGAAGACTAGGCCCAGCCCTTGACCTCTAGCTATAGGAAGAGCCAGCCCAACCAGCATCCACCTGGACCAGGCCTAAGGGCCAGGGTTTGATAAGGAAGGCTCAGTCTGTGCTGGGGAACCTGGGTCTGGTTGGTGGGAAGGCTGGCTTTCATCTATTTTGGGTGCAATAAGAAAAAACAGGCTCCTCATAATCCTATCTGTGCTTAGGGAAAGGAAGAGAAAAATAAAACAAACACCTACCGACTGAATGAAGTAGGGGTCCTGGAGGAGGGCACCAGGTAGGGGGCAGGCACTGAATTTGGCAGATGCTGGGCATGAACTGCCTTCATCCAGCATCAGGGACCTGTGGAGGGTGACCAGGGTGCAGGCAGGGGTGGGCAGATTCAGTCTCCATGCCCCTCAGCCTGCACCTCCCTTCCTCCCTCCCTCCCTCAGGCCCCAGCAGCCAAGTCAGCAGAGCTGAAGCCTGTTGCCAGACATCAGTCACATGCTGGAGTGGAAGGGGCTCCCCCAGAGATGGGGGCCCTTTGGGGGCAGAGCGCTTAGTTTGAGCCTCAAGCCAGGGATGTTTGGGGGGAATGGAATGGGAGGATTCCTGCTTTGGGGGTAGGAATTTGAGGGTAAGGTCCTGGAACAGGGGATATCTGGGAGTGGAGGTAATGGATGGTAGAGCCAGGGGAGAAAGTGGAAGTCTAGGATGGAGGGAGGAATGAAGACTCTTGGTAAAAGAGTTTCTGGAGAAGAAGGGGCTCCCTGAAAGGGAAAGGGGCGTTCAGGAAGTGGAGATGTAGGTGTGAACACTATAGGCTTTTGCACTCACAGCTTTCTCTTGGTTCCTGTACTGCTGGGCCCTGCCTGAAGTGGTCCAAAGAGGCACTGGATTAGCTGAAAAGAAAGGGTTAATTCATTCAGGCCAGCCCCCAACCTTAGAAAGGCAGTTCCAGGTGTGTTTGAGGGAAAAACGGTAGAGGGGTGGGGCGCCTAGGAGTAAGGACGATAAGCCAGGTGGGGAGAAAAAGAACACCTTGCCAATGACCCGGTGCTGTTGACCATGGCTCTGCCGAAGCGTCACCACCTCTCGCCACAAGATCTCATTCTGCCTGGGGGGAGGGGTGGGAGGATGCTGAGGCATCTGAGAGTTTGCCCAGTCACCACACACCGCAGAATGGATAGGTCAGGACCCTGAGACCAACCGAGTGGGCATCCACCTTGTAGACTGAAATACCGCAGCTGGGACCAGTGAGTGGATGGAGGTTTCCAACCCAAGAGAGGAAGAGGCTGCCCTTGATGGCCAGTATCCCCTCACCCAGCACCCCACCCCCACTTCCCTGTCCCCGCACTGCCTGAGTTCCTGCAGCCGCGCCTCGGTGCTCTCCTGCACTCCCCTCAAAGTCTGCACCTCTCCCACCAACCGGCCCAAGTCTTCCAGTCGCCAGCGACCATCCTCGCCGCGAAGTGTAGGCACCTGTAGGCGGGAGGCACCGTCAGGACAGGGCACATAAGACAGATCCGGCAGTACTAGCAAAGGTGTTTTCTCATTCCTGCAGTTTGTCCCACCTTGCGGCGCACACGCTCAAGTAGCTGCTCTCGGCCGCGCATGAAGCTTGGATGCTGGAACTCGACATGGTCACGCTCGGGTCTGAGCAGCCCACCCTGCTCAATGCTCACTACCTTTCGAAAACCATCTAGGGAATGGTGTGTGGGGACGTGAGTCGCTCCATCCTCTGCACCAAGTTGCCCACACCCGTTCCCCTCCCGGCCCCAGGGACTTACACATGTTGAGTTGGCGCACAAAGCTCGCCATGTTGCTGTGCTTGAAATACTGGGGCAGTACTTCCTTGGCGAAGCGGCTCTGTTCGCTTACGAGGAAGCTGGTCCCACTCTATCAAGAATGAGGCCCACCCGCCGAGTGGGTGGAAACCAGACTCTGTGAGTGGCGCCCACCCACGGCTAGGCTGGCGCTCTGGAGCACCGGCACACCCACTTACTCTGGAGTCCAGAGTTGCAGTTTATTGGGAGATGGGACAAGGCCAGGTCAGACCCATATGAGGCCACCTTGGGGGGACCACAATGAGTCCCTACCCCTAGCCCAACCCAGACTCAGTTATCAGAAAGGAGTAGATATCAAACTGGGCTCCACCTCGAACTGGTCCCAGACTGGAGATGTGAGTCAGAGCCAGAGCTGGCCTTTCCCTTTTCCTGGCCTGTTTTCCCCGTCGATGGGGTGGAGTGAGAATTACCTAGGTCCCTTGGGCTCTTGGGTCCTAGAGACCCTTCCTCAGCGCCAGAGGAAGTTACCTCATCCTTATCTCACACACCCCCTCCAAGATGAACCATTCTGGACAGCTGAATTGAGGTACCCACAGCTCAGTTCCAGACGGGGGCTGGGTGGACATGGGTGTTCATTGACATTGGAGGGACCCCGGGACCACTGAGGGAGTTGAGGGGCCCCAGCCCTCACCGGGCTCCAGCGGATCAGGTGGTCGGTGCCTGGGTCGCCCACCAGCGCCCATAGCTTGCTGAGGAAGGCAGGTACCGGGCTGGGGCCTGGCTCCGTGGGCAGCGCAGCTGGCGCTTCCTGCATGGCGCAGTCTCGGCCGGGCTCAGCGTTCCAGCCGGGCCTCTGCGGGAGGCTCAAAGCCGCGAAAGTGCTGCGTTTGCCGCCCGCCCCGCCCTACTCCGCCCCTGGGCGCCGGGTCAGGCGGGGGCCACGTGCGAACCCGCGGGGCGGGGCTCGGACATCCACCCAGGCCAGGCACCAACAGAGAAAGGGCAGGCTGAAACCGATGTGTGTGAGCAGACACCGTGTGGTGGGGAACCCAGGTTCCGGTCCCATCCTTCCCAGTCCCTCTCTATGCTGTTTGGAAGAAATCCTCCGTGGGCGGGCTACTGTGGGCTGGGAGGATCCTAGAAGATGAAGGCTGTGGATGTAATGAAGCCTGGATAAGGGCGGGCCAATAGGAAGGGTGGTGGGTGGTACTGGCCATCTCCTGTCTGCGGGACGCTGGGGTTATTCCCAGGGTGCAGCGTGCCCCCTCCCCTAGTCACAGTACAAAAGACCATGGGTGTCTCCATCTTCCCATTTCTACCCGGGACTGTTCTAGATTCTGTCCGTCCCGTGACCTCCTCTTCGGAGCTGGCCCGCGATCACAGGACTCAGGGATACTGCAGAATTTATTTATTTCACACTTACCCTTGACTTGGCTAGTGCTTGCGCCTGCTCTTCCCTAACTCTGGGCCCCGGAGCTGGCGCATAGTGCACAGAAGGATGGGCTAGGACACAGAGATTGAGGACCCTGTGGATTTACAGCGCCTCGGACTGGCCTAGATGCCGTCCTAAAGACCCCAATCCCTCCGGGGCGCAATAGTCAATGGAATCCCAAAGGAAGGGGCTAGCATTTGGGGAGTGCCTGGGCAACACGCTTTGGCGTCTGCGCGGTTCTGGAGCTGTGAGTTTGCCCAATCACCGCACCAACGTGGGCTGCCAGGGATGCGGCTCACGCCTTAGTTTGAGCGTGTAGCTGCGCAGGCGCGGACAGTGCGCGCGGAAGGCGTCCAGCACTGAGGGTCTCACCACGCAGAAGCAGTGTATTTCGCGCAAGCCCGCGCAGCGCGCGGCCAGCTCCTCTAGTGCAGCATGCAGCTCGATGGAGGAGGAGGCACGCACCTCGAGCACGCGCAAAGTTGCTGCGTAGTGGTGCGCCGCGAAGCGCACTGGCCCTACGCTGTCACCGCAGAGGTTGAGACGCAGCGCAGCTACTGGTACTGCGGGCTGTAGGACGCGCATCACGACCTCATCAGGAAGCGCAGGTTCCAGCTCCAGCTCCACCTCTAGCCTAGGATGGCGGCAACTCAAAGCCGCCCAGGCTTCATCTGGCAGCGGGGACGCACGGGCATCTTCAGGGCACGAGCACCGCAGCGACAGGAGAGCAAAAGGGGAGCGATTTGGAGCCGCCAGGGCCTCGAGCACGGCGCGTGACAGACTGGCCAGGTGCAGTCCAAGGGCACACAGATGCGGGCAGGCCTCCAATAGCTTGAGCACAGAGCTGGGCCGCACGCTGTCCACCAGCGCATGGTTGTCCAGGAAAAGGCTGCGGAGCTCCGGACATCCACGTGCAGCCTGCATCACCAGTGCATCATCCAATGTGAAGGGCAAGCGCCGCAGGTCAAGGTGGCGCAGGTCACGGGCGGCTCCGCAGACGACATGTACAGCGTCCAGGATGTCGCGGCCGGCATCGAAGAGCGGTTTCTCTCCGCAGCATTCCAAGCGCAGGCCTCGCAGCCCTGGGGTTCGCTTGGCCAGAACGGTCAGCAGCTCTGTGGCTGCTCGACGGCTGGACTTCCTCGACGGCTCATATTCCAGCCGTAGGTTATGGACTTGGTCCAGGCAGGCAAACAGATACGGTGGCAGCATCCCTTCCAGTTCACTACTACAACTTGGGTTAGAAAGTTACATTAGCAGTGTCATGGTGACTAGGCAAGAAACTTCTATTGCCCCTCAGTTTGGGTTCCACATGCCTTCCCTATTTCTTGTGCCCAGTGCACACACTGCTTTGGCCTGACCATGCTGTTGTCCCCAGCTAGTCGCTGATGGTAACAGGGAACTCACATCCTATTCCTTTAGAAGACTTCAGTGGTTCTGTTTCTGATTGAAACCCCGGCATCGAAACTCAATGGTATTTCAGGGACTAGGCTTTCTTAGCAATCTCTGTGGAGGTGGGGCAGAGCCTCTGGACCAGTTTCAAATAATGCCTCTGCCACCTAATAGCTAATTAAGTCCCTAAGCCTCAAGTGGTTAAGTCTCTGAGCCTCAGTTTCCTGTTTGTGTGAAGAGACTATCTGCTACACAAGGTTTTTGAGGGGACTAAGTGATTTATGTAAGGCACTTAGAACACTAGCTAGAGGCTGAGGAGATAGAGGCTCAGTGGTAGAGTATGTGTGTGCAGTAGTACATGTGAGACCCCAGGTTCAACCCTGTCACACACAACATACACACACACACACACACACACAGAGAGAAACTGACAATAAACAATTGGTATAGTATATAGGCCAATATTTTTTTTCTTTATCTTTTTGAGACAGGGTCTCCCTGTAGCCCCACCTGACCTGGAACTTGCTATGTAGACCAAGCCAGCCTCGAATTCACAGAGATCTACTGCCTCTGCCTCCCAAGTGCAGGATTAAAGGCAGGCATACCACGCCTGGCCGGTGTTTATTTTTTTAAGTATGAAGGATAAATGGACTGTGGAACAGAAGAGCCAACTCACCTGATGCTCGTGTCATGCCACACTGCACTGCTGGTGGCAGCGGTGGCCCAGGCTTTGCAGACTCTGGAGGCAGCAGCACGGTCCCTGAGAGGCAGGTGTCCAAAAATGAGCGCCAACACTTCCTCTGGCAGTTTTTCTCCAGGATCTGCCATCGTGTGTCTCCCCTGGAGTGAGAGAGGGAGTCCTGGGGCTCAGGAAAGCCAAAGGATCTAGCAAAGCTGAAGCCCAGGTGCAGACATGCTGTGGTCTGGGAAACACTATGCAATTTGCAGAGCACAATTCAAAATGAAAATGCAGAGATCTGGGTTGCATAGATGGTTCAGTGGGTAAAGGTGCTTTCTGTCAAGACTGTCGACTTGGAGACTGGAGTTCAAGCCCGGGGATCTACCTGGTGGAAAGCGAGAATGTACTCCCAAAAGTTGACCTTCACACCCATGCAGTGGCATGTGCAAGTCCACACATATACACACAGATAAATAATTTAAAATATATTCTAAAAACTAAAGAAAATGCAGAGCCAGGTGTGGTGGGCACATGCTTTTGGTACCAGCACTCAAGAGGCAGAGGCAGGTAGATCTCTGTGAGATCAAGGCCAGCCTGATCTACATAGGGAGTTCCAGGTCAGCTGGGGCTACAGAGAGACCCTGTCTCAAACAAAACAATACCCTACCCCCACCCCCCAGAAAAAAGAAAGAAAATGCAGAGATCTCTGTTCAAAACATTAAGATTTTCAAAGGGATTTGTACACACACACATTTTCCCCAACAGAATTCTTTTTCATTCCTGCTGTGTAGCCCAGGCTGGTGTTGAACTGGAGATTTCTGCTACCTCAGTCTCCCAAATGCTGGGAGGGTTTGCTTATTTATTTGTTGAACAAAGCACATGACCCCACAGGTTTCAAGCTGAGAAATCGTGTCACAGCTTTGCCACTGGAAAATGAGTACAGGGTTTATAAGGCGAGAGTCTTAGTGGAGATTTTTGACCTGGACCACAAGCCAGTCTGGAAACCGGGGTACAAGTGAGACTCTGGAGGGATCCTCCCCGGAAAGGAGAGGCTCGTTGCTGCCTCCACCTCACCAGATGACGTCCAGCGTGCTTTCTAGGACAGACCAGCCGAGGAAAGCTCGCCGGTGCTGGGGCATGAGTGTTCTGGCCCTTTGAGGAGCTGTAAAGTTAGGGCCCCATCCTCGAGCATTTAGGTTCTACTGGAACCTTTTTTTTTTTTTTTCCAAAAAGAGAGAGGATGGGGTTTTTGGAAATTGTGCGTCCTCTTTGAAACTGCCAGCTTTGTTTCAAAGTGCCAGAAGGTTTTTGTAGACATCGTTTTACACCACTTGTCTGCCATGTCTGTTAGGCTGGTCTCTTCCGGAATTTGCCTCACATATACTCTAGGGTTTCCGAACCACGGGCTAGGCTTGTACCTGAAACCATGGCACCCCATTTTGAGCTCTAGGGAGTAGTAGAGATTCGATTCCCAAACCAGATTCCTAGGGGGTGCCAGAAAAATTTGATCCCCAGGAACTGATTGAAGTTTGGCAGCTTTCAACCTCGGTCTCAAAAACCGCAAGCCCCTAAAGTTATGACCAGTGGGTAGTTCTTCCTGCCGGTAACCTTGGGTACCACTATCTTACCTGCTTAGAGGACTAGGTGGGCTTTCCCCAGAGGAAGGGGACTGCCGCCGAGGACAGCGGGGCAGGAAGGAGCAGCCCAGAGCCGAGAAGGCTAGGCGAATAGGCGGACCCGGCGGCTTGGGCTGGGGCACCGCCCCGGAGTGTCCGCGCACACCCGGAAGCCGGGAACAGCGGAGCCTGGCAAGTGTGGGAACCTAGGCCCGGCGGCGGCGGCCACGTTAGCGCAGAGGGTGAGTGGGTTCCCTTGGTGCAGCGGTAGCATAGATGGATCCGGCTCCCGAGCGTGGGCACTGCACGGTTGTCACCCCAACTGCCTGCCAGCTGGTGGCTGCGTTCTGTTAGGCTGTCTAGGTCGGAGGCGCGAGGGGGACAGACCTTGACCCTGGCACGTTTCTTGCTCCAACTAAGGATTTTTGAGCGGCCGCAGGGCCCTGTGGGTGAGAGGATGTGGAAGCAGGGCTGGTTCTGGACGATTCGGGAACCCTTTCACGCCTCACCCAGGCACGTGCGAACCCCAAGCTTGAAGGTGGACTAGTAGGAATTATGAGAACCTCCCTTAGCCAGGCCGGAACAGCGCAGCCGAGAAGGGGGCGTGCCCTGCTGGTCTCCAGGATCGTGCTTTCAGTCTTCAGCCATGCTTGCCTGCCACCCCGGTCTGCCTCGCTAAAAGTGGAGCTGCCTGGGGACTGTTACGTGTTAATGAGACACCCGACCTCTGCTAGTAGGGACAGTGATTCTTAGGTTGGTACCGGTGTTCATATACTGTGCATTCATTAAGTGTCCCCAGGACCCGACTTAGAAGCCTCAGCCTCAACCAGAGAAGGAGAAGATTCCCGGTGGGTGGGGCTCAGGCCTTCCCGCGGAGGAGATTTTTGGGGAAGAACACCTGGAAAGGATTCTTAACCAGACCATGAAAGACCAGCCTCTTCCTCCTTCTCTACCTTGATAAACTGAGTCGTCTCCAGACAGGCGGCTTCCCAATTTGCCCAGTACTAGTGAATATAAGTAATAGAGTTTCTAGTACCCATGCCTGGCAGGCCCGATGGGCAGACACAGGTCTGAGTCCCAAACTCGTTCCATCCTTTGGGGTGAAACCATATTTATCACATCAGCAATTCCAAATAAGAAGGTTAGGAAGATGTGAGGGTCTCCTGGTCATTTTCTTAACGGTTCTTCACTTGTTTGGCCTCCTTGGCTGGCTCCCTTCCCTCTTGTCACCCACATTTCATCCTTATTATTGTTGTTATTTTGCTATTTAAGAAAGACGTTCATGGGCTGGAGTTGTGGCTCCATAGTTGAGCACTTGGCTAGCAGACACATGGTCCAAGGTTCAACCCCCAGTATAACAAAGAAAAAAAAAAAAGGTTTTCTTTTCTCTCTGTCTCTCCTCTTTACAGACTGGTGTCTTGCTTTGTAACTCAGGCTGGTCTCAACCTCCTGATCTTCCTGCCTGACACTCCTGAGTGCTGAGATTACAGGTAGGATGCATCTTTTTTCCTTTTTCTTTTTGGTACTGAGGATTGAACCCAGGACCTTGCACATGTTATGCAAGAACTTTACCACTGACCTGTATTTCCCAACCCTACTTTTTATTTTCTGTGTATGAGTGTATTGCCTACATGTATGTATGTGCACCCATGTCCTGCAATGCCCGAGAAGGTCAGAAGAAGGCGTCATATCCCCTGGAACTAGAGTTATGGACAGTTGTTAGCTGCCATGTGGGTTTTGGGATTCAAATTTGGATCCTCTTCATGAGCAGCAGGTGCTCTTAACCAGTGAGCCATCTCTCCAGCCCCCTCACTTTTTTTTAATACAAAAGAAACATGTCTTTTATATAAAGTAGAAAATACTGCTAAATGCAAAGAAAATTAAAATAATCCCCCAACTTCCCTAGGGATAAACAATGTCCTATTAACTTACAGAATACAGTTTTTTAGTAAATACACACATATTAATATGTTTAGCATGGAGTGATTGGTGTGGATATGCCTCCAAAGTGTGTCCCCTATACTTCGATCCAGATAGATCCATTTCCAATTTATCATTTCTCTTGGCAAGGTCTGTGCTGTGGGAACCTGCCCAGGTAATGTTTCAACTTTGACCTTCCATTAGGGAATGAGACAGATCTAAGATGCACTTTCTGTTCTGAGCTCAAGAGCCTTACTTCCTCCTCAGCCATGTCATGGTGGGGACCTGGATCCTCCTGGCACTGCCACCCCGACTCTCAGAGCTACTTACCTGTTCTGTCTAGAGCTGTGCATCAGCACCCATCATAGTGCACCATTTGTAAATGTGGAAGATCAGAAAGTAAAGGATATAACTGTTGGGGCAGAAGGTAGAGTCTTCAGAAATAGGGGAAGATGCTGCTTTAGGTGGGAAGGAAAAGGCAGGGCAGTTCCCTCCCTTCTGCCTCATGAGACAGTAACTTTGAAGTTACTGAGCTGAGGTTAAATGTGAGGGTTTCCTGGTTGGAAATTTAGCCCCCTGGTCTAGAAGTAGACTTTTAAAATTTTATTTATTTTATTTTTTTTGTGTGTGTGTGTGTGTGTGTGTGTGTGTGTGTGTCTGCCTGAGTGTATATATGTGCACCACATGCATGCAGGAGCCCTCAGAGGTCAGAAGAGGGTGTCACATTCTCTGGAACTGGATTTATGGGCAGTTGTGAGCCATCATGTAGGTGCTGGGAACCAAACCTGGGTCCCCTGCAAAAGCATCTCTTCTTATCCTAGAAGCAGGCTTTTGACAGGAGATGGATGGAAGATATTATAGCATTGAGGATCTCTCTATGGACAATAAAGGAATCTATAATGTAACAATTTGAATTGAAGAAGACAAGTGCCCAACTCCAATGGGGCCTTACCAAAAAGTGAAATTATTTAGCTCACATAACTGAGCGGTTCAGGATAGTTTCAGAGACAGCTGGATCCAGAGGCAAAGTGTGGCTAAAAGTGTATGCCCTCATCTCTTGACCATTTCCTTCTGTGTAGGTTTTATTCTTAGACTCTTCCTAAGTACTGGCCAAAGAGACCTATTCCTTTCCTCCAGTTCAGCCCCAATGATAGAGAAATCAGTACCTCTTCCTTAGGGTTCAGTCGGAGTTTCAGGGTTGATTCCCATTAGTCCAACTTGAGCCCTATACCAAGTCCTGAAGTGGTCTTTGCAGAATGGTGAATGGAATATGTAGATTGATCAGGCTTGCTGCTCACACCAAACATGGATCTAGGGAGTAAAAATAAGTGAAGCCAGGTATAGTGGGAATGTAGGTAGTACTAGGGACCTGAAAAGGTTCTGTAGGTTGAAGGTAAAGCTGAAGGCAAGGCCAGAACATGAGTTTGGCTTTGGGGGGCATGAGCACCATCCAAAAGGAAGATGTCTCCTGTTAGCTTTGATAAGAGGAACACACTACCCTGAGGCCCACCACAGGGCCCACCTTTGCTCTTCTGTCACTGTCACCTTGGACTTTTTCTGGAAGGCAGGGGAGGGACAATCTTCAAGTCTGGGTTGAGTTGAAGTAGCCGGTGTGCAGAGCCAGAAGCACAAAGGCTGTTTGGGACTTCTGTGAAGGGACTCATGGGCCACATGAGACTGGAGAGTTGTTTCCAAGTGTAGGGATGACCTGGATGCCTATATTTGTCCGTAGGAAGTGAGATGGCAGCTGGGCCAAATGGACATGAAGAATGGGTGGGCAGTGCGTACCTGTTTTTGGAGTCCTTGATGGATAAGATGGTCCTGGCTGAAGCGTATACAGATCCTCAGAAGAAGGTGGCAATATACAAGGCTCTGCAGACCGCATTGTCAGGTGTATGGCTGGGCAAGTATGGGAGAAGAGGTGACTTGGGAATTTTGTGGGTGGGGTTGGGGCTGGGGCTCCACTTCTTTGCCTTTGTGGGTTTAGGCTCAAATGCCTTTAGGGAAAAGATTTTTAGGGTATGGCAGCCTGGGAGAGGATGAGGAGGGAGGGAGAACCCCTGGCTGTGTGGAGGCTGCCTCCTTTGCTTATTGCATGTGTGTCCTTGAGTGTAGACATGTGTACCCATGTCTGTGTCCTATCTGATCTGTTTCTACACTACTGGAACCCCTGCTCTCCACCCTTCCCTGTATCTATCTGACTAGTTCACTCTTTTCTACTAATTACACATTTATCTCTCCTCTTTACTTCTCTCACTGCAACACTCCTTTCGGAAACCCTTCTCCAGCACCTGCCCTTTCTTGTTCCCCTTCACCATCTTTGGGTGGGAGACCATAGGTTGTAGCAATTGGGGTTTGGGTGAGAGCACCTCTCCTTCCTGGACTGGGGGAACTTAACTAGGTGGTGGCCAAAGCCCTGAGCCCTCCTACCCACCCTCTGCCTGCCTACTTAGACTTGGTAGCTGAGGGAAGATGCCCCTTTCTGTGCTGTAAAGTCCCTTTCACCTCCCCGCCCCTCTTCACATTTGGGGCTTTACAGAGGTGACACCCACTCTATTCTGGGATGCCCCGTGTAGGTTCTAGCTTTCTTTCTGGGTTGTTGCTGTTTGCACCCCAATTGTGTCTCCCACCTGCGGTGTTCTGCTTAACCCTGTTCTCCAGGTCAGGGGATGGGGGGACAGCGGTCTGACTATGGGGTTTCGCCCCTTCTCCGGCCACTTGGAGAACATCCCCATTTGGGGACTTTCAATCGCCTGACTGCTCGCCTCTGTAGAGAGCGCGGACAGCCCAAACGAACTACAGATTCTCAAGATCCACTGCAGCGACCCTCAGCTGATCGTGCAATTGCGTTTCTGCGGGCGCCAGTTGTGCGGCCGCTTCCTCCGCGCCTACCGCGAGGGGGCGCTGCGCACCGCGCTGCAGAAGTACATGGCAGCCGCGCTCCTCAAGCCCTTCGTGCAGCTGCAACTGGAACTGCGAGCTGGTGCCGAGCAGCTGGACGCTTGCCTCACCGATGAGGAGCGCTGTTTGAATTGCATCTTAGCTCAGAAGGTGCTGCCTACCGTCTGGGGTTTGGGTGGGATGGGCGGGGATTCACAGCTAGCATCCGCACTGACTGCACCCCCTTCCCTCAGCCGGACCGGCTCCGGGATGAGGAACTCTTGAAGCTAGAGGATGCGCTCCGCAATCTGACGTGCGACTCCACTGACCAGGGCGGAGCGGGAGAGGTTGCTCCAATCCCCTCGCAATCCCTAGTTCCCTCTGGGTCAGAGAAGCCGCCGACCCTGCCCGGCCATACTTTTCTGTTCCATGGTCAGCTCGTAGGTGAGGCGCACGTGCAGAAGCGGGGTCAACAGGAGGTTGATTTGGGAAGGAGCAGGGTGGGCCCGGGGTTCCACGCGGGATGGTGCCGGTGACCGGGTCCCCACCCACCCCCTCTCCTCCCTCCGCAGTGAATCGACCGCTGAGTCTGCAGGACCAGCAGACATTCGCGCGCTCAGTGGGCCTCAAGTGGCGCAGGGTGGGGCGCTCACTGCAGCGCAGCTGTCGGGCATTGAAGGATCCAGCACTCGACTCGCTGGCCTATGAGTACGAGCGTGAGGGGCTGTATGAGCAGGCCTTCCAGCTGCTGCGGCGCTTTGTGCAGGCGGAGGGCCGCCGCGCCACACTGCAGCGCCTGGTGGAGGCGTTGGAGGAGAACGAACTCACCAGTCTAGCAGAGGACCTACTGGGCCTGGCGGAGCCCGAAGGCAGCCTGGTCTGAGTTTGGTACCGAGGAACGGATCATCAATCAGGAGTTCAGCCGGGATTTGGACCACCTGGATGGCTTTAGGACGCTTTCTACTGCTGCTGCTGCTGCTGCTGCCCCCCTTCCATCTACTGGAGTCGGAGAGGATACATACTTCCCCACTTGGCTGAGCTGCTGGAGCTGAACTGATGGGCCTTCACAGCAGCCAAGCACCCACCGAGCCTCTTGGGGTACATCACTGAGAATTCTGCCCCAGATTGTTTGATGGAGGCACAGTGTGAATGTCCTCCTTACCCTTTCCTACTCTACAAGAGGGCTTCCGGCGAGGACTCCTTAAGCACCTGCACCTTCTGAGTCTTGGGTGTCACCCCAGGTGCTGCAAATACTGTTGTGAGCAAGATACACGATTCCTCCCTGATCTTGGTTCATACTCAATGTGGGACCTAAGCATTCTGCAGCAGTAATAAAATGTAACTTGTTTACAAACCGAGTTGTGGGAACATGGAGAAGGCCTAGCCCAGGTTGGGGTTAGGTTCCTGCAAGGGATGAGTGTGAATTAGATGGGGTAGGGAGTGAAAGGCAGAGTTCTGGGCACAGGAGGCTTAGGAGGGGTCTTGAGGAAGGTGAGAGGGAGGGGATGTTAGACAAATGAGTTTAGGGTGGCTAGATGGGAGGAGGGGTTGCTTCATGACCTGTTGGTGAAGGATAACATGGGGTTTGGCGAACCATTTTCCAGCAATCATGTTTTAATTATGGGCTAAAAAGTCTATTACAGTGAGCTTGAGTTGGAAAAATTATGATTTCAAATACATCACTGGAGAATTCCATAGTGGGTAGGGGATGCAAAATTTTTACAGACTAGTAAATCTTATTTGAAATGATAATGCAAACACAGTAAAACTACATCTATCTGGTAAAGTACCCATTATATTCTGTAGGGACAGCTAATGTATGTAAAACAAGGATGTGATTACTCTCTTGTATGTCAGGGAATCTGAGCTCAGAATGATGTTGTCAACATCTGCCTTGTCTTCAGCATTGCCTTTCCTCTTCTCCCTCTTCCTTTTCTTCCCCCTCTTCAATAGTCATCAGTTTCTCCATCCTCATCTTCCTCTTCTCCCCACCCTCCAAACATGTTCCTCACTATGTATGTGGTTGGGCCTTGAGCTGTTGACCCTTGAGCCTCAGCCTCTTGAGTGCTAAGATTGCAGATGTGTGCCACCATGCCCAGCCTGATTTCTTCTAAGTATGAAAAGCCTCCTTCCTCTTTTCTCCTAATTCTGAGCCCACTTCATCTTCATCCTTTCACCTTCCTCTTATCCTTTAGGTGGGTCAGCTTCCTCTTCCTCTTAATGTTCCCTTCTTCCTAGTCCAAATCTGGCATTTTGTTATCCTGATCACATTAATCTCAGTATGTGATTTGCTGTAGCAGTGCAAAAATACTTTCTCTTAATCCCCTAGGTTTGTGATCTCAAAGATGTCAAGTCTTTGACAATTTTAAAGATTCTTCTATTTCTACTGAGGTCTTTGACCTTGCTTCCACTGAGACTGAGGTATATAATGTTTGGACAACTTACTTGGCATAGTGACATTTAGGAGGTTGAGGCAAGAGGAGTGCCTCAACTTGGAAGCCAGCCTGGGCTACATATTGAAACCCTCTCTTGAAAAACAAAAACCAAAACATTTAGGTATCCGTCTCCCAGAACGTCCAACAGAACTTATATTGTCCCTAAGTTCCAAACTTCGAAGTCTAACCTGGGAGGCTGGGCCAGTGAACTTAACTCCATATTAGCCATGCTTAGGACCTCTAGATGATTGATTTTTGTGGTGCTAAGGATGGAACCCAGGCTCCTAAATGTGCTAGGAAAGTGCTCTGCCACTGAACTACATTCCAGCTCTTGGTTTAAAAAATTATTTATTTACTTATTTATTTATTTATTTATTTATTTATTTATTTATTTCAGCCATCTTACTCTCTGCTTGGCTCTTGTTGGTGTAGGGGAGGAGCTCCAGCCTCTTCTGTATGGTTTGGATGAGGTAGAGCTATTATCATCATTATATTATTATTATTATTATTATTATTATTATTATTATTATTGGTCTTTTTTGAGAAAGTCTCTCTGTAGCTTCAGCTGCCCTGGAACTCACTATGTAGACCAGGCTGGCCTTGAACTCAGGGAGATCCATCTGCCTCTGCCTCTTGAATGCTGGGATTAAAGGTGTGTGCCACCACGCCCGGCCATTTATTTTTATTTTTAAAAATATTTTATTTTTATTTTCTGTGTATGCCTGTATTGCCTGCATGTAGGTAAGTGCACCCATGTCAAGCAATGCCTGTGGAGGACAGAGGGACTGTTGGATCCCCTGGAACTGGAGTTACAGACAGTTGTTAGCTGTGATGTGGGTGCTGGGATTCGAACCCGGGTCTTCTGCAAGAACAGTCAGTGTTCTTAACCGCTGAGCCATCTCTCCAGATCCCAATTTTTTTTATTTATTTTTAAGTTTGTATTCATTAATTTCTTTTTATTTTATGTATATGAGTGTTTTGCCTGCATTAAGTGCACCATGTATATGCAATGCCCACAGAGGCCAGAAGGGGCGACGGATCCCCCTGGAGCTGGAGGTACAGATGGTTATCTACCATGTGGGTGCTGGGAATTGAACCGAGGTTCTCTGTAAGAGTAGCCAGTGCTCTTCATGGCTGAACCATCTCTCCAGACCCCAGCTCTTGGTTTTCTAAGACAGATTCTCCTGTGTAGCTGATCCTGACCTTGAATTCATGATTCTCCTGCTTCTAACTCCTGAGTGCTGGAATTACAGATGTGGGCTAGAAATTCTAGTTTTTAACAGTGTCATTCAGAGGCTCAGTGGTTAAGAGGACTTGCTACTCTTGCCTGTAGAGAACCCAAGTTCAGTTCCACATTGGTGACTCCAGTTCCAGGGCATCTGACATCCTCTTCTAGCCTCCATGGGCACCTGCATACATGTGGTGCACATATATACACATTCAGGCACAGACACATACATGTATAAATAAATAAAAAATATTTTAAATGTCATTATTCAGAAGGTAGAGATGGCTTAGCTCTTACTGTTCTTCCAGAGGACCAGAGTTCAGATCCCAGCACCCAGCTCACAACTGCCTGTAGCTCGAAGGGATTTGATGTCCTCTTCTGGCCTCCTCTGGCCCCTGCTCTCACATGTACATACCCTCATAAACACACACACACACACACACACACACACACACACACACACACAAATAAAATCTTTAATGAAAATTACAATGTCATTCAGGCCTTCGGTCCTCCACAGAGACATAAGCAATTTTCAAGGTCTGGGGCTCTGTTCCTTAACCCCAGGTTAATTCTTTTAATTTCTATGCCCTCCTCAAGTTCTTTTGATACTTTTCCTTTACCCTTTCCTGCCTTCCACACTAACCCAACCATGCAGTTTTAAAGATTTAGAAATGAATGAAAA